GCTCCACCCCCAAAAGTCAAAATTCGGGCTCCACCCCCAAAAGTCAAAATTCGGCTCATAATTATGGAATTTGAATTGTAGGCATTTTTACCTTTCTCAGCCTCTCTTACAACTATTTCATCATATCAGAACCCCAAAAACCGTATTTTTATCCCATACCAGGCATGGTTGTCACCGCCATTTCCTCATAAAGTCAGTATTTTATTTTTCTTTATCGGCCGTTTTCTCAAAACGCGACTTTTCTCTATACTTTTTTGAATAGCTCCACCAATTTTCATCCAATCTTCATGAAACTTTCACAGAATGAAGAAAAGATGTAATACTAAACTTTTGTCTGTTTAATTTTTTATATATGGAATAGATTTTTGTTGGTGGTGTCTGGAGTGTGGATTTTTAAGGATTTTTTTGAAAACTTGAATACTGCCTCAGGAAAAAAATAATTTAAAATGTTCTAATTCGTTTAGGAAAAAAACAACACACGAATTTTTAGATCTAATGTTTATAAACACGCATGCAAAAAATCATTCAATTTCCATGAGCGATAAGTGCGGTATTCATTACGTAAGACATGTCAACAAAATCCAATATGGCCGCTGTATCCATGGAAACGAAACCTTTTCTCAAATTTGATTGGGGATTTAAAGACTCCTTACTATGGTTGTTATATGTGTGAAGTTTGGTAAAATTTGGTCCAGTAATAAGCGAGATAGCCTTCAGGTGTAGCTCTCTCTCTCTCTTCTCTCTCTCTCTCTCTCTCTTTCTCTCCCCCCCCCTCCCCCATCCCAATCCCTTTTCATTCCGAGCACCGCGTTTATTACGCACAAGGAACTTGTGAGCAAAAGGAAGTGAGACACACGTCTGGTATTCATCTTGTGTTGGACTTATTCATCTTAGCTTTCTCCGGCTTCCACGTACCACTTGTAGAAGAAGTCTCGACTTACATGCTATAGAAATATGTCTGCCGCCTTTGAAGTACTGAGATATGGGAGGTCTATGTTTAGGCAATGTGTCAGAGTACCAAAAACGCAGGTACGCTGACTCTTACTACGCGAGAGTAGAGAAATGCGAAAACTAGTGAAATATGGGAAGGTAGAGAATGAAATATAAATACGAACGTGAACCAAACACACATACACGCACATACACAGGCATACGAGTACGTGCGCGTGCGCGCGCACACACACACACACACACACACACACACACACACAGAGTAGAGACACACATACATACACGCATACACACACCCGCACACATGTAAACAAACATTCTCTGCCACACCCTCCTTCCCCCATACACACATACATACTCAAGCACAGATACACCAGCATACCACCACCACCAACAACAACAATAATAACAGTAACAACAACAACAACAACAACAACAAAAACAACAACAACAAGGACAAAAAGACCACCACCACTACCACCACCACCACCAACAACAACAACCACAACAACCACAACAACCACAACAACCACAACAACCACCACCAACAACAACCACCACCAACAACAACCATCACCACCACCAACAACAACAATAACAACATCAACAACACTAACGGTACCAACAACACCAAAACCTACAACAACAACAACAACATCAACACAATAACAACAACACTTACACCACCTACAACAGTAACAACAACAACACAATAACAACAACACCAATAACATCACCAACAACAACACCAACACCACCACCAACAACAACATCAACAACACCACCACCAACAACCAGGCACCAAGCCTACTATTCAGTAACAAAGGCCCAAAGACGGTATAATTCTTCTCCGTGGAACAGTTCCACGTCAACAACTCCATCACCACCACCACCACCACCACCAACAACAACAACAACAACAACAACAACAACATCACCACCACCACCAACAACAACAACAACACCAACAACAGCACCACCACCAACAACAACAACACCCCATGTAGCAATCCTACCTTTCCGTAACAAAGGCCCAAACACGGTATAATTCTTCTCCGTAGAACAGTTCCACCTCTCAAATCGAAACTGGCTCTGACACTCCAAAATTCCCCTCCGGGCGCCCTCGCTGATGCACAATAGGGACTCCGGGTTGTCCTTGCACACCTCTAGCTGCTCACGCACGAGTCCTGGCACCTCGCTGCAGGTGTCGTCATGGACCGAGCCGGCCAGAGAGGCTACTCCAAGATACCTGAGGGCGGAGGAAAAGTGAATTTTCATTTATTTATTACGTGAGGTGCAATCAAAACTCACTCAGAGGGCCCCCCATTATCGAGGAGAAAGTGGTCGTCTTAGGGAGGAGACAGTATAAAAAACAATCCAAAAACAAAACAAAACAAAAAACAAAAATAAAAAAACAAAAACAAACAAATAAACAAAGAAAACGAAAACAAAAACAGCAAAGGGGGAATGGGAAGTGTCTGTTTCTACAGGAGATTGTTTTATACAGGTAACAGGCGGCCGTTAGGGCAGTTTCGGCTATAAATTAAAGAACTGTGATAACTGTTGTAAATTTACCAACGCTAGAAATAAATACAATTTTTTTCAGTTAGAAGGAAACTCCAGCTATGAACATAATTCGCGGTAGCACTTTTGTTTACTGAAAAAAAACCTCGACACATCTTTCGAGTAGATCCAAGACCATGATTTCCTGGTATAAGTTGTTTTTTTTCGCCAAAGTGAGGGAGAGAATGTAGAGGTAAAGGTGGTCCGATGTGAGTGCTCTAGGTACAGGGAACGTGCATGCACAGAATGTGATCGTGTGAGTTTATACGTGTGAATAGGTGTTGTGTCGCCGGTAGCCTAGTGGTTAGGCTCTCGGACTCGCAACCGTAAGGTCGTGGGTTCGAATCCCATCAGGGACCCGACGTTGTGTCCTTGGGAAAGGCACTTTACAAGAATTTTCCTCACTTCACCCAGGTGGGAGTGGGTACCCGGCTATAGACAGCGAAAGATCTTGTCAGTTTGTTAGTATTTGAGCGCTTACTCAGCTGCTTGCACTGTATGCTTCCCGGGAAGCTGAGAATGTTTCGAAGTGTTCTATGGTCTGCTGGGGTAATAATATAGTGTAAAGCGCATAGAGCCTGCTGTTGAGCGGGAATATGCGCTGTACGAATGCTATTTATTATTATTATTATTATTATTATTATTATTGTTCCTGTGGCACTTAACGATATTTCTAGGTCACAAAATCTGATGGACGCACACTGCTTAAGTCTTCCAAATAAAGGTGGATCAAATAGTATTACTTTAATTTATGGTACCCTTTCACAGTGAACCTGAAACCCTCACAATTAATATAGATTTTTGTTTAGGTACATACGCTCACGCTATATCATTGTTAACTGAAGACTTTTGCAATCAAACTTTCATGCAAATTTATTATCAATTTGTTTGGCTATAAAGTTATCAAGTTAAGGGTTTGGGAATGCTGAAAATGTTCAGATTTTAGCATAGTTATCTTGACCCTGGCACTAGATGTATAAGCATCTACGAAATGTACTTCAGAATTTAAAAAATAAAAATGAACCGAAACGAAACACGGATGATGTCAATAATTGAAAGGTGTTCCAGACGTTGGAATGATTCGGGCAAATTTAAACCATAGAGGACACATTTTTTTATCCTTCAACAACGCCTGGATACATGCTGTTTTATGGTACTTAAAAACATCAGGTTATAGTTATTCAAAAAGTTATCTCAAATCTGTATTCTTTTTCTGAATCTAAATGTCTGAGTTGTGTATGACAGTTTAAAATGGTCGCTGTTAAGAACAAGCGGTCTAACCCAGATTTCGGGCTTTTCCAGAAATCTTGACCTACACCAAAAGTGGGCATTGCCCTGCCTACAAGAGAAGTTGGTAGCATTGATGTGTATATTTGTTTAGTTATAGAGAAAAATCTCCTTGTCTTTTAAAGAAACTGAACAAGGGTCCAAAACCTTACCTTCGATTTTCTCAAAACAGCATTTTTCGGGATAGCCCCTTGTGCTTAAAAGCGACCAAGTGTACCGCGACACAGCTTTTGGTCAGCCACTGATTAAACATAACACATGAGAGTTAAAGGACGTGCATGGTACCTTGACCCCAGGCTCGTGAGAGAAAACGGTGGGGGATGTGGTTCATGATAACTGACATCTCGTGGGCGTATCACAAGGACGAGTGCCACCTGGCTAATAATTCGCTACCTCTGAAGTACAAAGTTATATCTGCTCAGTACCTAGTTTTGAGAAATTTGACGTTAAAGATTTAAAGTTTTACAATATATTAAGCTTTTTGGATTGCAACTTTTTGAATATATTGAATAGGACTGAATAATCTTACGATTTTGATAAAGCAGATAGAGCATTTGGTTTCTGACTCACGGTCTTAGTCACTCAAAACAGCCAAAAATGTCAGATAGAACTTTGTAATTCTAAGGTAGCGAATTGTTAAAGGTTGTATGAGATTTCAGTGAAGTTTGCTGGTTGTTAACAGTTTTGGCAGACACGCATGTTGTAAGTCGTCCTTATCTCCGATGGTATCTGGCTAGGATATGAAGAAGATGAGCCTTGTTCGAATACCTATTGAGGCTGGGTTATTCTTGGGTTGTTTGGGGTGAATTTCCAAGGCTTGGGCCGGACCTACTGAACGTGAATGTTCAGTTCGGTAGTCATGCTTTTTAAATAATCGTACAGTGGCAAAACAGGAGTTGAAACTAAAACCAAGACACATTCTTATGAATTATTAATTTTGAGTTAACAACTATTTTGTGTTTTTGACATTTACGAAGCTCAAGCTTTTGTTTTGTTTGTTTTGGTAAGCGTTTTACGGCACTCGCAACTGCATACGGTCAAATGAGGGCGCGGCACACATTAAACCTTTTAAGTTTGATAGGAATGAATTCTGAATTTTACCCGAGTGGCGGCCGAAGCCTACTCTTATCGATTTTAGGACCACCAAGGAATCTTTAATGTGCGCAACTTGAATACAGGACCTCCGAGATTTTTCGCCCTTTTTGATTAGGCTAGGCGTTCAATTTCACCTACCTTAAGAACAGTGAGTGTGGCGGAAAGTTAGCAGTACGAATAGCCAAGGAGTAGAAGATAAAGAGAGTCAGGAGGCTTGAGGAGTGGGAAGAGGGGGTGGGTGGGGGGAGGGGAGATGAAAGCAGATAACTGAACTTGATCAGAGAGCATTAAAGGAGTTGGAAGCAGAAAATTGAGAAAACATTTTTTTTTCTGTCACTATCAGGTTTCGAACCCGTGACCTATTAAATGAGAGGATCATATTATCTAGAGTACAACAGGTCGCACAAAAGCTTAAGTTCGTATGTGAATAATTGTGGGGGGGGGGGGGGGGCATTAAACTAGGGGGATGCTGCTTTTGAGTAGAGGCAATGATTAAAGCTTTGGGTGATCGGCAGTTCGCTACCATAAAATTACGAAGTTTTGTCTGCTCTGTACCAAGTATTGAGAAATTTGACGTTTTAAAAAAATCGAGTTTCACATGTCTAGTTTTTTCGAATGCAGTTCTTTGAATATCTTGATAACGGCCGAGAATAATCTTGCCATTTTGATAGAGCAAATAGTATAATATTTTCCGACTTCACGGTGTTAGTAAATGAAAACAGCCAACAAAAAGTGAGAAAAAAAACTTTGTAATTCTATGAAGGCGAGCTGTTATATATCGGTCGGTGACTGCACGTCAACTTAACATCTGTGTACATGTATTTTGACGGGACCTTTACTAGTATTATCGTGAAAACTGTGTCTTTTTTATTTTGATGTTTAATTAATTTAAGGGTTAATGAAATATTCACAGCTCATTAAATTTTTTTTTAGGTGAAAAGAATGAATGCCAAATTTCACAAGGTTTCTGGCCTTAAGTTTTGCCCTTAAGAAAGGTTTTCACTCGACACTCATGTGCATACAAACACTCGTACACTCCCCCCCCCCCCCCCACACACACACACTCACACACACACTCACATACACGCACACACGCATTAAGAAAAAACTGTTTGATTCGTTTTAAGATTTATCAAAATATTGTATTTTTTCTTGCTTTTTTCAATGTTTGGAAGTTGAATCTAAAAAAAAAAAGATTTGTTGAGCACATGTACCATATACAATAGCAGTAGCGGTACTAGTATTTTTTATCTTTGTTGTCGTCGCATTGGTATTCAAGTGTTTATATCACGAGCATTATCACGGTCATTCCCTGCTGCAAAATGAATGTCGTGGGACTTATTTCTTCTCCACCTTCCAAGTTAAGTACCGGTACTGAAGGGCGGGTGCCGGTACTGACAACGCTTACGGTAGTACTGGGAACTCCGGTACTGTGTACCAGTACCTGCCCAGCCTTAGTTTTCTATGTGGAAGAAGGAGGAAGCAACCACGGAGGTGGGGGAACTATGAGGACACTCAACGTCTGACACTAATCACCCGCAAACACACCCTTAGACCTGATTCGGCATTAAGGAGAGCCAGACATAATTATCGGAACACCCCAAATGCTAGGACGATTTATCGTTATTGACTTAATCAAAAGCACATTTGTTAATGACGCAATAATTGTCACATGTTGTAGAGCTGATATCATGCAGGAAAACGGGAGAGATAATTCAAATGATCTGGGGGAACCCGTTTTCGTTCCATAATTTCCATTTTTTTAAAAAAATATCGCAATACCCTGTTCGTCCCACCCGCTTTCGCCCCACATTGATTTGATTACTTATAGGTTACTGCATTTTCCATCCAGATCCCAAAATGATTTTACAATGCGCAGGGAAAATTTATTGTTTATAAACCACATCAACAAGGAAGTGGAAGAGGGATTTCGTGCGGCGTGAAAATCTGATTTAAAAATGTGCAGAATGAATGTCTCTGATAAAACAGTTTTGATAAAAACACGTGCATGTTATAACTCTTGTACCAAAAACAAATCTGTCCTGTGATAAATCCAGGGTAAAACGTTGCATGTTGTCTGCCACTGCCTCGAGAGATTATAGACTGAAACTTCCAGCAAACAGTAGAGAAAAAGAACTGTACGTCTCAGAATATCACCACTACTATACCCGCACATCAGAGATAGTGATAGTGAGAGTTAGATAGATAGATAGGTAGATAGATAGATAGATAGATAGATAGATAGATAGATAGAGAGAGAGAGAGAGAGAGAGAGAGAGAGAGAGAGTTGATTATAGGTAGCGA